ATATATATATTGGTTATGCAACGACGACGAAAACGGAGATAAATTTTGAATAGAATTGGCAAATAGAGGATTTTCCTCAAAATTACTTATAGTCAACTAAATTAGAACAAATGTTTAAATAATTGTATCATGCAATGAACGTTATAAACGTATTGACGTACATGAACATTCTACGGATTTTTTTTAGCTATAACAACTATCGATATAATATGTATAAATATAGATTTGTTCCAATATATACTAAAGATATATGGTTGTGAAAAGTAAATCTACTCTTACTAAATACTCGTCGAATTTATTTAAACAAATCTAAGTGTTTAAAAACATCAAGGTATATGAATGCATAACCACGGACTTTATCCAATTCCGTGTACAATATCTAATTTTAAACATAAACTTAGTCCCGTGCAATTGAAGAAATTCTTGATATATGAAATCCATTTAAAATCAGCGAAATCATTTTCATGTAAATTCAGCATAAGCTTGTACATCATACTAGACAATTTATTTTCACCTGTAATTAGTTTATACCAAAACATTATCATTCTAGATTTAATTTCAATATTCAGAGGGTACCCACCGGTTTCACCATACACCATTATATTTGCTGTGGAGCTACGTATGTTTAAAATTCATTTACAAAACTGTACATGTAATTTCTAAATCGTATTTCAATTTTAATTGTAGGTCAATTGGTAAAATAATATTTCTTATTTGTTTTTTTATATAATGCATACATTGCTTTTTGAGCCTGTTCAACAAGGTTTATCTTGCTTTACAGAAACTGCCATTATAATGAAACAGCAGTCCTAGAAACGAGTAGCTGTCATGTGTTTGCAACTCTTCACCAAAAAGAGTAAAACGAATATTTTGTGCAATTACTTTTACTTTTTTTCAAAGATAACTTTAGTTTTATTGAGATTAACTTTAAGTTTCCAAATAGTACAGTAAGTTTCAAATTCACGGAAAGCATTCTGTAGACCTTTAGCTGTTTCTGACATAACAACTGTGTCATCTGCATATTGCAGAATAAATAATTTAACAAACATACCCATGCGTTATTGAAATAAATTATCAATAAACTGGAGTTGGTCAACATTACTTTGCATGGAAAATTCTTCTAAATCATTTAAATATATTGAGAACAAAAATGGGGAGAGATTTTCACCTTGTTTTAACCCGAAGTGACATGTGAAAAAATCAGTCATACCATTGCTAGTTTTTACGCAAGATTTAGTGTTTGCATACAGATTAATTATAGCATTTCAGATCTTTCCTGTGATATTATTCTTTAATAATTTCTTCCATAAACCTACCCTCGAAACAGTATCAAACGCTTTTCTGAAATCAATGAATGAACAGAATAGCTTTTTACTTTTGGAAAAGTATATAGATATTAAAGCATGAAGGATAAATATATTTTCAATTGTAGAGTAGGTGTTATGACATCGCAATAGCAATGTTATATATATAAATGAGAAAATGACCCAGATACATATTTATAATATATAATTCTCTGAACAACCCTTTTTTATAGAATAAAACAGAGACATATATTGGAACCTCGGCCTGGAAATTTATATATATTATACTGGACAATTTCACCATATATATATATACATATATTTAGTCCGAGCCTGCCCCGTTCCTGTAATTGCAATTCTTTTATCAAATATGCCTTATACCCGATAAGGATAATTAAATATATACAATAAATATATATAAATAGGCCTGATCCTGCCCCGTTTCTTTCTGTTCCTGTAAATCGTCGCCCGTTCTTGCCCGATCCATATCAATACAATAATTTTAATTAGTAGCAATCCTTTTATCTCTTTTCAATGATCTTTCAAACCACTTAAGAATATTCCCGCTTGCTATACATTTTTTTTTTTTTTTTTTTTTTTTTTTTTTTTTCAAAAGTTTTATTGATATATAAAACAACAACAACATAAACGTCCACTCACTCACCAACATTGTGATGCCATTACCTCAATCATCATCATCATCATCATCATCTCACATACATTGTGATGTTATAACCTTCTTCATCATCATCATCATCATCATCATCTCACATACATTGTGATGTTATTAGCTCCATCATCCTCCTCATCATCATTCATCATCATCATCAACATCATCATCATCATCATCATCATCATCATCTCACATACATTTTGATGTTATTACCTCCATCATCATCATTATCATCATCATCATCAACATCCATCATCATCCTCATCATCATCATTCATCATCATCATCATCAACATCATCATCATCATCATCTCACATACATTTTGATGTTATTACCTCCATCATCATCATTATCATCATCATCATCAACATCCATCATCATCATCATCATTCATTATCAACATCATCAACATCATCATCCTCCATTCATGTATGATGAAATGATTTCATATATTATAAGTTGCATCACAACATTAACACATACATAATCGCCCTTACTCACACCCACCCATACACACACTCTTACATACAAACACAAACAAGTAAGGAATCATAGAATCATAGAAATGCAAAAAAAAATGAAAAGCTACTAAAAACTGTAAACTAAAATTACATGAATCAGTTCAGAGAGAGAGAGAGAGAATAGAGAGAGCGAGAGAGAGAGAGAGAGAGAGAGAGAGGGTGGGGATGGACTATTATATTTTTGAGCTCAAGCTTATGAATGTATGGATAAGTGTAATAGAAGAAAATTATTGATTTTATAATTCATTTCCAAAGCCCAGGAGACAGCTATCAGAATATTATTTTTACAAAACAAGAAGTTTTTCCCATTTTTTCCATTCCTTTTCAAACTTCTCTCTATAAGTTTCTCCTTTGCTATTTGCTATAAATCTTTGTATATTATGGTAGTCTTTTATTGTGTTAACCAATGCATTTATATTTAAGGAGCTATGAAGACAACGCATTTTATATACATATTGTTTAATTATAATGAGTATCTCATTATCAATTCTACCATTAACATTTTGTGTAAGAAATCCAAATAAATAAGATTCTTTATTAAAATTAAAAGGAATAATGAGTGCATCCAAAAGAGTTTCAAAACTAATAAGAAGATTCTGAGTCTCTTGACATTCCCATAAAATATGGGTAATAGCTTCAATCTCAGAATTCTTATTCTTATTTTGTATTTAATACATTTGTAATATAAAGTAGAAATACGGCCTAGTCTCCTGGAGTATAACCAGATTTGTTCCAGGGTTTTATTTACCAGAAAGGGGATTGTGTCCATCCCTATATGAATATCTATACTCTATCTATATAACACTACCAACCCGATATTTTTTGGAAACCTTCAAAAAACAAGAGGCCCATGGGCCTTAACGGTCACCTGATATATTTATACAGAGAATTGATTTTAACACGAACAGAAATATTATTCGGTGACAAAAAACAATAAAACCACCTTATTCAATATCTAGCATACATATTTAAGACTAAAAAGTATTTGAAACTAGCACCTCTGATTCTAAACAAGGAAAATGAAGAAATGTTAGCACACCGACTCCTTTGGGCCCCACCCTACAGCCCTTGGGGATAGGTCTGGCTCAAAATTTTCAAAATATCAAACTGTCAACTCAGGGTTATAATTCCAATCAAGTTATTAACATGTAATATTCAAAGTATCATTTGCCATTATAAACCATAATAAATCCAATACTGATAATGCTAACCCAAATTGAATTACTTCCAATGAAAATTAAACAAATGTTGGCCCATTTGTGATTTCCCTATATAAACTAAAGTAAAGTTTACCCCCTCCCCAGGGGTACACGTGAGACCCCAGGGTCATACAATTCACAATTTTGGTAGAGCACCTCAAGACCCTTCCATCTATGAAGAGTGTTTGATTCTACCATATCTGGGTCTTGAGAAGAAGATTTTTGAAATTCCAGTCAATTTAACCCTTTTTGGCCCCACCCAATAGCCCCGGGGGTCAGTCAGGGCTCATATGTGCATACCATCAAACTGCTACCCAATACTGATAATGCTAACCTAAATTGAATAACCTCCAATGGCAATTAAACAAATGTTGGTCCAAATTGGATTTCCCTATATAAACTCTAGTAAAGTTTACCCCCTCCCCAGGGGTAAACATGAGACTCCAGGGTCAAGAAATTCACAATTTTGGTAAAGCACCTTAAGACCCTTCCATCTATGAAGAGTATTTGATTCTACCATATCTGGGTTTTGAGAAGAAGATTCGTAAAATTTTAGTCAATTTGACCCTTTTTGGCCCCGCCCCTCAGGCCCCTGGGGGCCGTGGACCAAACCGGCAACTGTTTTTGTTGACCTTTTTTGGCCATGGAAGGTTTCTGCAAAATTTCATTGAAAAGTCGAAAATGTAAATTGTTTACGGACGCACGACGGACGACGACGGACAAAAGGCGATCGCAATAGGTCACTCGAGACTTTGTCTCAGGTGACCTAAAAACACTGTTCCGTGAAAAGTGCTGAACAAAATGACCTGTGTTTAACGAAAAGATGGTTGTTTATTTTATCTTATTTTTTCATTTTTTTTTCAAATTTTTCATATTTCATTTGTTTAATCACATAGCAGTATTTCGTTTTACCTTATACATTTTGACGGTTAATTACCGTTGTTTTGTTGAAATGTTTACTGGGTTTTATTTCCTATGGAATAGGTATTGCTGAACATATTTATTTACAGAAATAGGTGCTGTCAGGACCATGCAGTGATGACCTATTTGACTGAACTCAATCTCACAACTATGTTACATTCAAATTTGCTTTGTTCCCGTCGACAGTTCAAATATATGGTCTCCAAATGACCTCTAAGCACTGTAAACACGTTCGTAAGTACATTTAATAGGATTTTGGGCATCTTCCTTGAACCTGAAACTAATTTCGGACTCGCCGTGCCATTTCGCTGGATAAACTAGGTAACTTACAGAGTTTGGTACTTAAACCGATGAGCAGTAATATATGAACTTAAAAATGAGGTAACATTGGGGATATCGTGTATTTATTGCCAATTGTATTTAGATATGGTATAAACACATTGTATCAATATTAAGTATTTTGTACTTTGGGTACACATTTATAAGACTCGGGACTTGCTGGAATTGCCATTCGCTTGCTTGGAGCTACGGTTAGTTGCAGTTCGGGGGGTGTAGGCAGATGTACGTTCATAGGGTTAAATGCGTCTAATTCCGGGAAGTATTTGCAAACAAGATCCGGTGCGCAGCCGCAGTCGCCATTCACTTTCATGACGTAAATGCATGATTCATTAAGTTGAAGGTACGGGTTGCAGGATGCTGCAATAGACAGATGAAATAATATCGGCATATGCAGTTTCATGATGTATTTAACTAATAATAACTAAGCAAGAATCAGTAACACGGTCCATGTTTATACACATACATTTGTATAATGATTAATCCATATTGGTATATTTGATATGTCACTTTAAGAGGCAGAGTCGCCAATTGTTAGAAATAATAAAACATAAGGAATATGCAGTGTTGTTTCCGCTTGCATCAAGAAACAATGCAATCTCCGTGATCTTAATAACTGTTGCACTCAATTTTTGAACTCGTCCATTGACAACTGATTTAAAAATGCCTTTTCGCATTAGAGGCCCTTGAAAAGATTCGTGGATGTGTAATACTAGTATAGCTCGTTATGTCGTACTAACATACCAGCGATGAACATGCTGAGTGGAGGAGACAACTGTCTCTTGCTCACTACCAAGAACCTCGGGGTTTTTGAGCAACACTGGCTAACGTTGCAGTCGCTGTTCTGGTCACATTTGAATGGAGTTTCCGCAGGACTGTCCACGGCAGCCTGTGGATAGGCAACACATAGACAAAAGCAATTCATATAGTATCTGATAAAGTCCCGTAGTATCAACTAGGATCACCACGCGTTGTTGATATTTTGAAGCGTTACATTTTAAACGTTGGAGTGTGAGAGAAATAAAATCTTTCATCCCCTTGGGGGCGAGATAGGGGGATCTCAACCCGAGGGGGGAAGATTCTTAATTTGCCAAACACGAGGCTTTGTCGAGTGTTTGCCAACTTTAGAATCTTCCCCCCTCCGGTTTACTCCGAACGTGCGCTAACATAGTGATTAATACACGTTTTATAAAATATTTTATAAATCTTACAAAATAAATAAAGCTAACATCAGTGGATACAAACATTATAAAGAGACACTTTATATAATCAATGTTAAAAGTATATTGTCTTGAAAACCTATATTAAAATTATGCAAGTCTGTGCAGATGTTTTAAGCATATGAACATGGTCATATGGTGCAGCAACTGTTTTAACCTTGTTTATCGTTCTGCCTTGTATTTCTTCTAGCAGTTCTTTTAGATAGGTGTTTCCTTGATTCGTATTCAAAGTAGCTAGTATTCTTAACAATGCGGCGTTGTCTGCTGATGAAATATTGGTCCCCTAGGTTGGTTCCAACTTCGATTTGTTTGTTTGTTTGTTTGATTTTGTTTAACGTCCTATTAACAGCTAAGGTCATTTAAGGACGGCCTCCCCTGTGTGCAAGATGCATGCGTGTAGTGTATGTGTGTGTATTTTGGGAGGCTGCGATATGTTCGTGTTTGTCTCCTTGTGATAGCGCGGAACTGATGCCGACTTTATAGTGCTACCTCACTGAAACATACTGCCGAAGACACCCAGCAGGACGCCCCACCCGGTCACATTATACTGACAACGGGCGAACCAGTCGTCCCACTCCTAATTTGCTGAGCGTTAAGCAGGAGTAGAAACTACCATTTTTAAAGACTTTGGTATGTCTCGGCCAGGGGACAGAACCCAAAGCCTTCCTCACAGGGGCGAACGCTCAACAAATGGCCAAAAGTGAGGCATTGTCAAGGGAGACATTAGGAAGAAGAAAGTTATTTAGAAAGGAGAGAAGAGATAAGGTCCCAAATTTAGTCGCCTCTTACGATCATGCAATTGGAGGCAGCAGGTACAATTCTTACGCCCTACCTGCAGGGACTTTCCAACTTCGAAGTTTGAATATCGATATATTCTGCCACTGATTACAAAATAAACGTTCGACATGGTATTTCTACGAGACAGGTGCAAGAGAAGTGACTCCACCTTACTCTGTTTTTATATACTCGACTAACGCTACTGTCCTTGTCAGCAAAGAGGGGTATGTTCACCGCGCGTTTACAGATGATTGGACGCCACCATGCCCCTGAAGTTTATCAAGTCCTTTCCCTGAGATAATTCCCTGCAGGTTGGGCTTACGAATTGTACCTGCTGCCCCCATTGCATGATCGTAAGAGGCGATTAAATTTGGGATCTTATCTTTTCTCTTTTTCTTCTTCCTAATGTCTCCCTTGACAATGCCTCACATTTGGCCTTAAGTTTAGCATTCGCCTCTGTAATGAGGGCTTTGGGTTCTGTCCCCTGGCCGAGACATACCAGAGTCTGCAAAAGTGGTAGTGTATTCTTAACGCTAAGCAATTTAGGAGTGGGACGACTGGTTCGCCCGTTGTCAGTATAATGTGACCGGGTGAGGTGTCATGCAGGGAGTTTTCGGCAATATGTTTCAGTGAGGTAGCACTATAAAGTCGGCATCAGTTCCGCGCTTTCACAAGGAGACATACACGAACATATCGCAGCCTCCGAAACTTGCACACAGGGGAGGCCGTCCTTAAATGACCTTAGCTGTTGATAGGACGTCAAACAATACTAAACCAAACCAAACCCCTTGGCCCAGGCATGCTCCTGAAAAAACAGGGATGAAATCCCTTAATCACTGTGCCCCCAGGGGCCACACCTACCGTTTACACACAATCAAGTCCCCTTGGCCCAAGGATTCTCCAGATTAAATTAGGATAAATCCCTTTATCCCTTTAGTAGAAGAAGGGTTTTAAAGGTTTACCTCTATTTCCCCTATTCGGCTCCACAACTCTGCCCCCAGGGGGCACACCCCTGCAGGTAAGGGATCGGGAAAATAATACACCCGATGTACAGTAGGAGGCGACTAATGAGTAACCCCCAGCATAATTGGGGATTTGCTTTAGTATCCTCTATTTGGGGACACAAAAGCGACCAACACAAATCTGCTGCACCCATTGCAATATTTGTGATCTTTATCCTTCTTTCTACTTCTATCTACCTTTTATTTCCTACCGCCTTGCTTGGCAACACTTGAGCTCACGTTTGGCCTCAATGTTGAGGAAGGCAACGGGTTCTGTCCCGGCCTGGGGATACGTCCTAAAAAATCGTAGTTATTATCTGCTTAACGTTCAGCATTTAGGGGAATGACAACAACTGGTTCACCCCTTGTCAGTATGTGGCCGGGCGACATGGTATTTCAGTGAGATAGTTATAAAATTGGCATCAGATCCGCGCTGCCACAAGGAGGTAAGCATACCCACAAAACCCTGTCTCCTGCATACACACACGCAAGCACTAAACACATGGAGGCACGTCCTTAAATGACCTAATACGTTAAACAAAATTAAACCAAACCAAACCCCAGGAGGTCCCAACCCACCGTTTACACAAAATTCAGTTCCCTTGGCCTAAGGATACTCCAGACAAAATTGGGATGAAAAAAACCCTTTAGTCGAAATCTACTGGGATGTTCAGGACAAGTAGCGTTTTAAAGGAAAAGTTGACGGATGGACAGCGAATGCGGCAACCAAAAGGATTTTTTTTCTGACGTAGAGTAACGCCCCCTGTCAAATCGCTCGCAAGTATTTCGGCTTATCAATTCGAGATCCATTAAGGAGCTGTGCATTTAGTTCCCGAATTTTTTCTTATTTATTTGCATGTTCAAACATTCAAATTGGGAATAGCTATAATTCTGTAAAATGCATAGCAACTTGTAATTTTTATGAAATGATACTTTTGAAAAGACTTTTAACAAATATTTTGCAAGTGCTAATCGTTATAATGCAGTTTGACTTGGTGGTACCCTTCACCTTAAATACTACTGTAAACGTGGTTATTTACGCTGGGTGAAAATTACGTGATTTGAAGGTCAAAACTATACGCGCGGGGGTTATTTACGCGGTCGCGATAGACCGACGTTTACTCTGCAGAGTTATCTCCCTTACTTTACAAAATTTGTACAGGTAAAAATACTAGTAGCTTCTGATTACATGTTACGTATGCCTACCGACTGGTCATTGGATAGATGAAAATAAAGGTGAACTGCATTCATGTGTATGGGAAAGTGGACTTAATCATAATTAATTCTATTGATTTTGTAAAATTTTAATTCCAGGCTGTGATGTTGCAGTCCTTAAATCTGGAGGAGGAACTGGAAGATGATAATGACTCCGATGAGGAGGAAAATGAAATCCTGGAAACAATTTGGGAAGCTAAATTGCGTGCCATAAGGGCTACATATGAGGAATAAAAAAATTGAAACCATCAATAAAAATGTACCAACACTTTACACAGATTTATTTTGTTTTAATTTCTAATAATTTTCCAATTTAGATCACAATTTACACTTCATGCTGTAAAAAAAGACCAGTCTGTAATTTGGACTAGCAAATTCAGAGTCGGACTATTAAAATTCTGGGATCACTAGTCCAAATGACAAGTAAGGAAAAAAGTAAACGTCACAGACTGTTTCCAAATAACAATGATAAAACCATACACTATTCGTAAGTTATCGTAACTCATCTAGCGCAGTTCATGTCGCTTCCATGATGACAGGGGCATTTACCCGTGTAGGGATCGTTGCACACGACTGCTTGCTGTTTGTGTCCCGTAGACACGATGTGTACCGGACATCGATGCATTAATTAACGACTTTCTCTGTGCCTTCATATATATTTTCAAATTTGTTGTTCATCAAAAACTTCAATTAATCAAGTAGTTTATTTCAGTTGTTATTGTTTTTATTTTATACCATTACAAGACAATGTATGTTAATTAGTAATACGTTAACAAAGCAATATTACAGGAAGACATCACACACACAAATGTACCAATAGCTATCAGAGTTGTCGTTCCTTACACTATCGATGAAACCATACGCGCGGGGGAAATTTACGCGAACGATCCAACTCCGCGTAATCAGCGTAAATTTCCCCCGCGCGTAATATTCCGCGTTTACAGTACTACTTTTTTGTTTCTTGTTTAGGAGATTTTCATATATATTACTTTATGTTGAACATAAATACAATTATATCATCATGTTTAGAATGTCAGGAAAACAAGGTGGTAGTAGCACACATGGAAACTCTGCTATGCTTTTTTGCAAATACCAGAAGAACAACTAAAATTCCAATTTGTTGTCGAATATGAGCATTTATTCAATGCCAAAAAATTATAACAATTCTGTTAGTTACATAATAATTGTGATCATTTTTCACTCAGCAAAAAAGGTTGGGCTAATGACATGATCAGAACGCCACAAACTTGAGCGGATATTATGAAAATTATGCGAACAAGTGCCCCAACCCAGTGCGACTGATTCCGTTTGCAACTCGTGGGAGGATTTTGTCAGAGAACTCTTGGTAATAATACATTATTGGAGTAATGCTCATGTATTACTGTCTTATCAATAGACGCCGTAGAATGGAAAGGAGAGATAACATTTAGTAGTGTTATATTTTGAAAAATAGAAATAATAGTGATGAAGTCAAAATCGCCAGTTTAAAGAATCTTGATTGATCTCAAAATACGAGAAAAACCAAAAAAAAAATCATCAATTTTACTTGCAATTATAAAACAATATCCCTTTAACATTCTTTATATATCAGGTGAATTTGTCTCATACGTAAATGCATAAATCATTATGCAATTTTTATATATAAAACATTAATATTTCATTTCTACATATCCAACTTAATAATAAAATATATACTTACATAAGCAACTACTGCAATAGCACAAATTAAGATAAAGACTTTCGTCATGGCTGTAGAACAGTCAGTGAAGAAATAATCTTATCATACTATATGTCCACAAGATTTGCGCCAAGGTGTGGATTGGTTACAGTGCGTAGGCGTTTAATCAGAAACGTCAGTGTCCTTGACAGAGCCAAGCCTCTGTGAATATGTAGATAAGTTAACTCGTCGAACGCAAACAGATATGCTTATGATAGGTTGCCCTGCAGGTAGGGCGTAAGAATTGTACCTGCTGCCCCCAATTGCATGATCGTAAGAGGCGACTAAATTTGGGACCTTATCTCTTCTCTCCTTTCTAAATACCTTTCTTTTTCCTAATGTCTCCCTTGACAATGCCTCACTTTTGGCCATTTGTTGAGCGTTCGCCCCTGTGAGGAAGGCTTTGGGTTCTGTCCCCTGGCCGAGACATACCAAAGTCTTTAAAAATGGCAGTTTCTACTCCTGCTTAACACTCGGCAAATTAGGAGTGGGACGACTGGTTCGCCCGTTGTCAGTATAATGTGACCGGGTGGGGCGTCCTGCTGGGTGTCTTCGGCAGTATGTTTCAGTGAGGTAGCACTATAAAGTCGGCATCAGTTCCGCGCTATTACAAGAAGACAAACATGAACATATCGCAGCCTCCCAAAATACACACACATACATTACATGCATGCATCTTGCACACATGGGAGGCCGTCCTTAAATGACCTTAGCTGTTAATAGGACGTTAAACAAAATCAAACAAACAAACAAACAAAGCTTATGATAGGTTTTCGTCTTTTGTTCCTTTTCCCAAATAATTTTATTGATTATTTTATTGCTATTGTACCTGTAATTGTTTACTATAGCTGTCCCATGTAAGTAAGTAGTCATGCAGCTGTAGAGTATTCTTAGTTTGAAATGGGGATTATCATAATCAAGAGATAACACATATAAATTATTAACTGTATAAATCAATTGTTGCTTGGTTTGGTTTTATTTTGCTTAACGTCCTATTAATAGCTAAGGTCATTTAAGGACGGCCTCCCCTGTGTGCAAGATGCATGCGTGTAGTGTATGCGTGTGTATTTTGGGAGGCTGCGATATGTTCGTGTTTGTCTCCTTGGGATAGCGCGGAACTGATGCCGACTTTATAGTGCTACCCACTGAAACATACTGCCGAAGACACCCAGCAGGACGCCCCACTCTTAATTTGCTGAGCGTTAAGCAGGAGAAAAAACTACCATTTTTAAAGACTTTGGTATGTCTCGCCCAGGGGACAGAACCCAAAGCCTTCCTCACAGGGGCGAACGCTCAACAAATGACCAAACGTGACGCTTGTCAAGGGAGACATTAGGAAGAAGAAAGTTATTTAGAAAGAAGAGAAAAGATAAGCTCCAAAATTTAGTCGCCTCTTACGATCATGCAATTGGGGGCAGCAGGTACAATGAATACGCCCTACCTGCAGGTCAATTGTTGCTATAATGCTGTCATAAATCATAAAAAGCATATGGCTTCCTCAATTTGCGCCTTGCTTGGCAATGCCTCACTTTTGGCTTTAATGTTGAGCGTTCGCCCAGGTGAGGAAGGCAATGGGTTCTGTTCAAATGCCCGGACAAATCAAAGTCCTTAAAAATGATAGTTCTTATTCCTAAGCTAAGCGTTCATCATTTAGGGTAATGACTGCAACTGGTTTACCCGTTGTCAGTATAATGTGATCGGGCGGAATGCTGTGGTTTGGTTTGGATTGGTCACTTAAGGACGTGCGTCCATGTGTGTAGTGTATGACAGGGTATGTTGGTGTGCTTGCCTCCTTGTGATGGCGCGGATCTGATGCCGACTTTGTAGTGCTATCTCACTGAAATACAATGCCGAAGGCACCCAGCACAGCATTCCATCCGGTCACATTATACTGACAACGGGTAAACCAGTTGTTGCCATTCCCCCCTTATAGTCTAGTCATTCTAGCTGAAATATGGCAAAACCTCAAACAAATTGCAACAGAAAAGTTTTGGTGTTTTTCTGAATTAATAACATATGGACATCACCAGAAAAAAAATCTAGAAAATTATAATGTGGGAAAAATTGTTTACTTCCGGTTTAATTATCTCCCCTTGCCAACTTTTTTTTCGTTTTGTCGGAGACTAGCTTTAAGCTTACACGATCAAAATAGACATAAAATTAAACTATTTTATGACTTGAGAGTTTATTTTTTGTTCACAAAAGCGTATTATTGCATAAATAAGTATATGCCCATAACAATATGGAATAAAAATGGCTGATTTTGTCCGACATGTTCAAGTTTTACACAATGTTGATGGGAATATTGACATCCAGGTTTCACTTTGAGAGGTAAAAATTATTTCAAAAGTCATCCAAACCGAGCAATGGCACTAGTTGCTGAAAATATGTCTTGAAAACACTATAAGCACTCATTTCCAATATGACAATCAGCGTCAAGGACTGCTTCTGCATTGGAACAACTCAATCCTTTGCACTCTCCACATGCCTGTGAACATTCCAAACCATGCTTTCTGCATGTACATCGTTTCGAGTCACAGTTAGTTTTGCAGTTGCAGCGAATAATTTTAATCAGGTGTTCCGGAGCAGGAGGGGAATGTGTCTTGATGGGAAGAAGCTTTCCATTGTCGAGATACCATCCCCATTCCTGTTGAGGAATTGTGTCGCCATTTCCCATCCATATTTGGGTTTGGAGATAAACTCTTCTGCTGTGGTATTCTGCTGCAGCCGAAGTTGGGGGTAGCGATTGCACTTGCACGCACGATTTTCCAACGAAAACTTTATCAACAAATTTCTTATATCTTAGAATGTTAAGTCCTTCTTCTGGATTGCCATTGTAAAGAGAAACAATGGCCTTTTCCCCGGCTGCAATAACGTCTTTTCCAGAGGCAGAATCATCGGCAAAGACTCCAGCTAGATCCTTGAAATCTGAATCATTTTGTTCTTTCTTCAGTGCTGCAGCTTTCCCAATCCCAAAGATGCGTGAGGTTGTATCACAGCCCGTAACTGCATGAAGAAATGGAAGATGGTAGCATGTTTCTGATCCTAGCATGTGTTTCGTTTTTTGTATATCCCATACCTTCATTTTTCTTGAACATGATTCTACAGAGTGGAAGAAGATGTTGTGAAATTCCAAACTGGTATGGAATAGAAGAAGAATGAGAAGGTCTGTATCTTCTCCAATCACAACAGTGATTCTGTTCAGTGCATTTTCTGTAGCTTCATTCACAATGAGGACATCGGCATCACTTGGAGCGTGAATGGTTCTACAGCCGTTTTCTTCCATTGCCTCTGCTAGCATGTAGATGAAGGCTTGTTTGTTGACTTGGTTTGATAGGAAGTGTTCCTTTTTAGACCGGAAAGTGGTATTTTCTGTAAAGTCAAATCGAGCTCCTGTCGAACCCCCGTTGCGCCTGAGGTGGGCTGCATCCTTTGTTGACGGACCGGAAGAATACCCATCAAATACGATGGATGGTTTGTCATATTTCTTTGTAACGTAATCTACATACTTGGCACATATGGAACCGAATGAGAATCCCCTATTCCAAGGTAAACGATGCAGTAAGGATCCCCCGTCAAGCACGTAATGTACATCTTCTGGTACGGGAGAGGTGCAATCTCCGAAACTCCAAATTGCATCTGCAAGAACTGATTTTTGTGCAGCCCTCATTAGACCTGACGGTTCAAATAACGAAGATGGACGGGTGGCAAGTTCATATGAGAAGACAGTAGATACGTCCTCTGGTAATCCATTTGCTGCTGCCATTAGCCTTTGAAATAACAGCTGTGGGTCAACTTGGACATCATCATTTTCTATTCTCAAAGTTGCAGGTTTCGCACTCAACGTAACAGCTTTGTTTGCTTTCTTAAACACATAGTTAGCCATGTTCTGTCCCTCCATTGACTTTACAATTGCTTCTCCAATTGACCTAGCATTTTCTGTGTTTGCCTTTCCATCATCAGTTTCTCCAGTTTCTATATTTCTGAGAGAAGCATCTCCCTCAAATGGATTTCTTTCAAGCAGAAAGGCAAGGATGGTTTCTGTATCTTTCCCGTCTTTTTCCTTTCTTGATTTCCCACTTTCTTTGTGTTGGTCATTTGTAGCATAGCTCACGTTACACAGCTCTTGCATCGCATTGTTCATATCCGCGCAAGCCGGCATTGAAAGTAGCCATACTGCTCTCTGAGTTTCACTCATGCCACGACCCCTCGTCAAGCCTCCAGTTGATTTCACGCTTCTCATAAGAACTTGTTCAATGACAAGGTCAGTTGATAGACCTGCCCAAAACCTATCGCTTCTTCGTATAACATGATGGCCCGTTTGGAAGGCATTGAACACTTTAGGATTATCCTTCTCAAGTGTGAGCATATTTTGCAAATACGCGTAGGCCGATTTTGTGTATAGATTGTGTCCTGCTGCAGCGAGGTAGGGCAGCATCTGCTGCACGGAAACTAAATGAAGGTTCCAATTTCCGGTTCGTTCTGCCTTGATGAAACGTTTGAGAATAGAAATCATTTCCATGTACTGGATCCACAACTTGGCTGTTCGATTGCAGGAAATTGAATCCATCCTTGCTTTCAATTTTTCTTGAATTTTGTCTAACAGATCTGAATGTATAACCTCGTCTAATGATATTTCTCCTGACAGCATCACATCGTAGAGTTGTGAAGCAACATCCAGGTCGTTTTCATGCAATTCTGACGATCCGCTGGCGTGCTGAAGTTGTTCATCTAGTATTGTTCCCTCCTCAAAACTGGTTGGCTCAATATGAAGTTGACTTTCCTCTGTTGAAGACGGCAAGACTATGTCGTACATACTGGACAGTAAAATTGCATGCAATGCAGCGTCTACAAGAAAATGCCCTCTCACTGCTCTTGCCACAGCTTTACCGGTCATCATATGAGAAACAGTCGTTGGTGCATAAACAGTTTCCAGTACATGTTGCAGGCCTGATCCTCTCATTAGTTCGCCAATGCTTCCAAGGAAGCTCATTTCCATATGAAATCCGCCGAGCCGAAGGACAATCTTTTTGAGTTCACTGTCAGACGGTTCACTCGCAACAATCATCAAGGCCTTCCAATAGAGCGGCTGATCAAATGTCAGTATCGGGTGAGACC